ATACATACATATATGATATAATATACAGGATTAGGCATCTATAAAACAGGTCATGATTCGAATATCACTCTGAATAACTCACTCCTTTTTTAAGAATAGAAAGAAAAGTTTTAAACAAAAACTGCTTGGATTCGAGGACATATTTTGGTTATGTTGTATTTTTTCTAGGTGGAGGCACCAAAAAAGACTTATAGGTCAACTCCACTTTTTTAAATGGAATTGTATGATTTTTCCTACATAATATGATTTCCCTAACTATTCTATATAAAAGTATCAAAGTAGACATATGGAAAAACCAATAGTTTACGAGATATTTTATACTTCATTGTGTCACATATTGACATAAAATGTTAAATAACTCGTAAACCGTTTATTTTTGATAATTGTACCTTAATATTTTTATGAACAGAATAATGAGATGAATCAATTGGTAAAAAGAAAACACATAATTACTTTTAAAAAATATATATTCAAAATGGGTAATTTTTTAAATAAGACTCGATATGGTTTTTTTCCACCAATTGATTCATCTCATTACTCTGTTTATAAAAGTATTAAGGTAACGATTATAAAAAAATTAATAGTTTACGAGTTATTTAATATTTTATGTCAATATATACCAAAATAAGGTATAAAGTATCTCGTAAATTATTGATTTTTTTATATCTGTACTTTAATATTTTTATATGTAGAATAATTAGAGGAATCATATTATGTAAAAAAATAATCATTCAATTCCATTTTTAAAAGTGGAGGTGAAGTCTTTTCTTATCTTTTTGGTGCTTCCACCTAAAAGAAAAACGTGATCAAATCACGTCTCTCTCGAAATTATGAAACTTTTCTTTCTATTTTTAAAAGCAAGCGAATTATTCAGATGGCCTGTTTTAAATGTCTTACCCTGCGTATAATGTATGTGCATATTTGTTTATAGGGAAAAGAAATGGTACAAGGTGTGACTGGAAGGATTTTAATGGATTTAATATTGTGTGGAACAAGTCAATATTTGATCGAATTAGTAAATGCTGGCATATTGCTAGCTTTTTGTAATTTATTGGAAGCGAAGGAATATCACAAGGTTATTAATGCCTTAGATAGTCTTATTAATATCTTGAGTGCTGCAGGGACAAGAGAACAGACAAAAAGATTTGTCATTATGATCAAAGAAGCTGGAGGATTAGATAAACTGAAAGCTCTTCGATATCATCAAGATGAGAAAATTTATGAAAAATCTATGGCTATAATTGACATATTTTTTTCTTAACTTGTCAGTATACTTATTTTATGTTCATAAATCGAAAATTATTTACATTAAAAGTTATTTTTTTTTTTTCATAAACGTTTTATCTAAATAAGCAAAATATATTTTAAACAGAATCATAATTTTATCTGTATTAAATTAAATAATATTAATCATATTATTAATTTAATGAAATGAGTAAACTGTTTCTAATAGGATATTGATAGATGTTCTCAGGATGTTAAAAAGAATTCTGGACGAAGTAAACATTTTTTGAATGACGGATGAATTATTTTTAATTTTTTGATGATGAAATTCATTTTTTGAATTCGGATTAAAGGGTTACATGTTAAAGGTTTAATCAATGTGAGATTTGATTATTCCTTTGTAATATATAATGACAACTACTTACAAAAAGAATTAAAATAGCCATCAACCAATCAAGTTTTAGAAATATTTGCTTGTAAAGAATACTTTACCCAGTAAAAAGATTTTATACTTAATCAAGCATACCTAAATATAATTATATGTAAAATATATTCCTATATATTTTCTTTTTTTACATAATCTCTATCTATACGTATACATAGATAAAATAATAAGAAGAATAATTAAAAAATTATCAGGAAAATAAATTTAGTATTTTTAAAAATCAGGGTCACGGTGTACAATGTATATTCGTTCTATGTATAATTATATGCAGTTTTATATATTATTATAAAGTGTTCGTCAAAAGTTCCGGGCGAGCTGAATATCTCGGAAAGTATGCATTTCTAAGAAAAATGTTATAAACAAAAATTGTAAGGTTTAAAAAGATTCTGAATCAAAATAGGATGTCCAATTTAAAAAAAAATCGATATGACCTTAACCTGATATTGGTGATGCCATCCAACCGAGAGATAAGAGATTATTAAATAGATCTTTTTAAACTCTACAATTTTTGTCTAAAACATTTTTCTCCAAAATATATACTTTCCGAGATATTTAGACTGCCCGAAACTTTTGGCGGACATTATATATGATTATATGCATGTACAATTTTTGCTTATTTCTCAGAACTTTACTTTTTTCATAAAAAGTAATTTTAGTAACAGTTTTTTTTATAAAATAATGCAAAAATTTGCCTTTTTATTATTTTTCTAATTCTTCTTATTATTCCTGCATGTAAACAAAGATTATATATAAGAGGAAGAAAACAAGGATACATTTTAAGTACAATTTTACAGGATGTACTTGACCTACGGGATCACCTCTCGTGAGCAGGTATAGAGTGGATTGAACTGAGTCAAAAAGTCCTTTATCATTTTGCAATTTTTGGAATATTTTAGAAGATATTTATTTCTAAAGATCACTGAATAATCACGTACCCGCACGGATTACCGCTAAGTATACATCCATTGATCGCGGTTGTTTGTTACGCGGGGAGTAAGGACTACTTACGAATTTAGCCGTTATTTTTACCATTACTTCAGTTCCTTATTATATATATATATATATACA